GGACATCATGTGCACCACCCTGCAATCCATCTCAACCATAGATTACTTATTGGACTAACCCCTTCAGTCCAAAACCTTTCTTCCATGCATATTTATATACATACATGTGTTGGGATACGCAATCAAAACCTGAAATTTTCTTAAACTTTCTGAAATATATCTGTTTGGCCAAGTAAAGGAATCCTTGACCGTAAAGAAAACTAAACTAAACCAGGTTGGGAATAGGAATCTTCATCCATCTGCCATCCAATTCGTGGAGGTCTTTTCTGTGTTTCGGGAAATTTATATTTAAAGAAGACAACGTCATTAGATTATTATGGAAAGTTGGTGAGATACTATTGTTATAAAATAAAAAATAAAAAATAATTTATTTCTATATTTGGTTCTTCCTCAGTTCCCAAGGAAAACACCCACCTGGCTAGCTTGTAGCCATTGTTAGACCAATTTACTGAGACTTTTTCATTAAAGTCCACCACCCTCTTTTTGCAATCAATTCATATTTTATCATGAATAGTATACACACTTGTTTTCGAGAAATATTAATATTATTTTAGATGGATTATTAAATTAAGGGTGTTAGGTATTTTTATTTTACAATATAAAAAAAAAATATCATCAATGATTCTCACCAGGGATAACCTCATCCTGATATTTTAGTGATTTCTTGAGAGTTCAACTAGTAGATCCATATTGAATAATAGTCGTAAATATAAACCACCTCTAGGTGATTAGGTACGACGATAAAGACTCTTTGATATATTATTTAAAAGTGATTGAGTATAAATTCTCCTCAATAACAAATATGGGTAGTCACTGGAGGATTTACAAGGTCATTAACTTAAGACTTCAGGGAATTGGTCGAGATATGCGCAAGTTGATCTGAACACTTCCAAACGTCAGGGTATATATATATATCATTGTTTTTCAGTTATCTAACAATCTTCTAACTAGATTTGATGTTGTTATTGTTGATAAATAGATCTCGAGTAAGAATCAGTAATACAAAAACATCCCTTGTAGGAGATTACTATGATGATTATTGAAAGCATTAAATGGAAGTTGATATGTGGTAAATGCATTGAAAAGGATCTGTGTTATACTAATATTGGTAATGGAAAGTCTGGTGGAAAAGTGGTAAAACATATATTCTGTTCAAAAGACTTCAACAATGATAACTTTGCCGATCCCTTTCAAACTTACTGTATAAATGCTTCTTTTCGGAGGTTCCTTGTATGAGAGTTACGTCTCTCCATTTGAACCGTATTCTATTTATAACAATATAATTAAAAAAAAAATATAGCTGTAAAGCCGATATCTTAGACTTAATAATAATGTAGTGGGGGCTTAAAAAAAGATTAGATAGTGAAGAAATGGATAAGGAAATTGCGGCTTAAAACAAATTTCAGATTAGTTCAGGTTTTGTTTACACTTTGCTATTTGGCAACCCATCTCACACCCACTCTTTACGACTTTTTCCCACCCAGGTTTGCCTTGATCACATTTTCCACTCAAAAAGTTTTAAAATACTACTTTTCCAAAGTTTATATTTTGTTAATACTTAAAATAGACTCCACTTTCTCAGTCCGCATTCAGTAAGTTACAAGGAGTCAGGGTAACAGGGGTTTTATATAGTGGAGGCTGGTGGATCAAATTGTGGTAATTGATTGAATATTCGCCATAGGAGTCAATTGGAAATTAACAGGTAATTGACAAGAAATCGGGTGTCATAGTGAGAGAGATTTTGTAGAGAGAAAACTGAAAGTTCAAATGGTGGTGAATGAGAGAATTTTTGCCGTCAGAATCGACTTTAGCTAGTAACGGAATATTAACTTTAAGTGAAAAAATGGTATTTTGAAACTTTTGGAATGAGAAGTGTCGTTAAAACAAACCTTGGGTGGAAAAAAGTCGTCTACTCCTCTTTACATATATCAATTTAACTTGTTTAATCAAGATTACGACCTCAAATTTTGGCCATTTTTATGAGAAGTGTTAGAGAAGTTAGGAAATTTATTGGACTTTGGTTTGACTCATCTTGCATTTGCTTTTTAAAACTCAGTCACATTCCCATAACTTATGGATTTAAATATATTTTGTGGAACACATTTCATATATTAACAAAAAGATTATCTTAAAAATAATTAAAATTTTCTTAGACTAAGTGAGACCCTTCTGTTTATTTTCTTTTATAATTGAGAATATGATTAAAGGTTGCTTCAATTTCATTTTCAATTTACCAAAACACAGCAAAATCTGTCACATTGAAATAATGAAAAATTGTTCCTGCAAAGACAAAGAATTTTAATTTCATGGACACCGGATTTCCTAATAATCTGGCCTACTCCAGTCTCTCATACACTAATTTCTGGCATTTGTCATAATCTTTTATTAAAAAAAAAAAAACCCAATAATATCAATTAAATAGTTAAAAAAAAAAAAAAAAAAAAAACAAGAACAAATAACAATTCCCCAAGGCATGTGTATGAGTATCAGAATGAATCCAGTTTCCATTGAGAAGCAACATCTGAATTTGTTTGAGCCACAAATTGTTTTAAGTTAAAAAATTTAAACCCAAAACAGAATAGAGAGGCCACGTCCTGTTTTTTCTGGCAGTTTGGCCTGGCTGTAAAGGCTCATGAAATCAATCAAAATCGAATCAATCAGAGGGCCAGGCATGCGTGGGCATAACTTAATATAATACAAATATTAGCAGAATGGGATGGGAAGGGGGAGGGGTCCACAATAAAAATTTTAAAAATTAAAAACAAAGGGTTGAGATTGGGCTTGGAGTTTACTGTTGCCAGGCTGCTTCGTTTTAAACAGATGATGTGCAATTGGGTCATTGACACGTGGCAATTGAGGTGTAGGGCTGTGATGGTGATTGTGGAGGACCATCAATCAAATAGTATGGTCCCTGTGAATTTCATCCCAAATTTGCTAAGTAAATAGCCAATCTTCTCACGTTTCTGAAAACATACTATTGACTTACCATTCCTTTTTACATATTCAAGAAATATTTTTTTAATAAAATTTTAATTTAAAAGAATTTAATATAAATTCATTAATGTAATATACTACACTATTGTCTAACTATAGAGTAATGCTATGTATACTGACCAAAGAGTAATGTTACATATACAAACAAGTCTTACAAAGATTTGTGTATAAACTGATGTGACACAAAATAAATAGAAGAGTGAATATGATGAGTTTGACTTTTTATATTCACTCATCCATTCATATTATACCACATCAGTTTGTACACAAATTTTTGTAAGATTTGTTTGTACATCTAATATTATTGTATAATAATAGGAAGACATAATATTGATTAAGATGAACAAAAGAAAAACTAATACATATATAATATGGATTAATTTAAATTAACATATCTATTATACTTAGGACTTGAAGTTAACTAAATCTTTGGGGATCCTAAAGTTAACGATAAGATAAATCCTCCAATGGTCATTCTTATTAGCAACTGAGGTGACTCAAATTCAGAATTTCTTGAGTAATACATCAAAGAATCAATGTCTAAACACTTAGTCACCCACATGTTATAAACTTCAAAATTGAGATTAATTAATATAAGTGTACATTTTCTCTCATATTTATGGTTTAATCATAAAAATAAATGGAATCATTGGTTATTTAAAGAGTTGAGAAACATGATAATGAAAATACGAAAATACGGAGAAGGTGCATGTTTTGTAGTCAACTACATTTGTCCACTCAATCACAATCCACAAACACACTTTCCTATAGTTTTGAATAATGGACCGACCAGTCTCATTCATGGCCTAACTTTGAAAATAAAGCTTATACTTAATATTTATTATTAATTTCAACACAATTCATATTCCCCTTAGCCTAACACTTTATTATCGAATCTTTCATGCCTCTTTATTTACCAACATTAAAAACGTTATAAGCTTCATTCAAAGACGTCTTTCTTTGGGTTTTGTCAAAACAATTTCATGCTTGTTTTAGTCAAACTTTGTTTGTTAGGTTGATAGGGCAACCTCATTCTGTGTGCTGCCCTAATTAATAGTTTTTATTGTTGCTTTGGACAAAATTTCAATCCAAGATTGACCACATTTTTATTTGGCAATCATTTAATTCAAAACATATTTAATTTAGAGTCACTTTTGATAATAATCCAAAGAAAAATTAAGAGAGCTACGANCTTCATTCAAAGACGTCTTTCTTTGGCTTTTGTCAAAATAATTTCATGCTTGTTTTAGTCAAACTTTGTTTGTTAGGTGTATGGGGTAACCTCATTCTGTGTGCTGCCCTAATTAATAGTTTGTATAATGTATTGTTGCTTTGGACAAAATTTCAATCCCAGATTGACCACATTTTTATTTGGCAATCATTTAATTCAAAACATATTTAATTTAGAGTCACTTTTGATAATAATCCAAAGAAAAATTAAGAGAGCTACAACAAGTGCAACGGTCTCCACCCTCCTCATGCTATGTGTTCACTTTTAATTAATCTAAAATAAATAATGCTAAGTCTATAATTTAACCTCACAATCCATAATCAAATTTCGTAACTTCTTCTCACAATCTTTGAGTAGTTTGTGAATTCGTAAATGAGCAGGAAGCCTGCATTTATAAACTAATGAATTGAGAGTTCTGAGGGAGACGATGAGATTGGACCTTGACCATCCAAGATTTGGGACAAGTGTTTTCGTGTATGATTTGAGGTCATGTCAAAATTACAGTGAAAGAAACACCCTTTAACTTAAGCGGCAGGAATCTCTTGACAATTTTCAATCAATAAATTCAATAACACAAGACAATCTTAAATTGGGTGAATCAAATCTTATCAATCAGACGTGCTTTTCCATTACAACTCCTAAAAGGCCCAAACAAAGAGCCTCTCTTGGCCCAAAATAACCACATGATTCAATTATGTCAAAGACTTCAATTTGTGCCCTCACTCAAATTGTTTTTTAGCAGATATGAGCACAGATAAACAAAAAAGAAAAAAAAAAAAAAAAAAAAAAAAAAAAAAAAAAAAAAAAGGGTTTATGTTTATCTCTAAAGATGAGCCAAGTCATGGTAGTATTGAGAAATCCAATTTGCAATAATGTTCGCTTCTGTTTTCCTCACATCCTGAAGCCATTTTGGATCTTCACTTGTTGAAAATCTCAGGTCTACATGGTGAGCTCCTGAACCAGTAATTCTAACATTAGAGACATTAAAGGATGTTTTTAACTTATCTATTTGTGTAACTTTACCGACAAGATTTACTAACCTTCTTCGGCAACAATGGCAATTATAGTCTTGGAAACATTCTTGAGAACCCTGAAACCATAAATAATTTTGAATGAGAGAGCATCTAATTTGAATGATGGAGAAATAGAGAGAGGGAGATGAAATTCATACCCGCCACCACTCCAAGGATCTCTTAAGCCATTAAAGAAGATGATATTGCTTCCAAATCTTTTCAAAGCCCTCTCAATATTCTGTTCATTTTTTAATACAAAAATAATGTTTATATACAAACGAAAATACAAAAAATGGAAAATGAAAAGGTTACCCACATACATGGCCAACAAAATGAGTGGTAATCCAATTGGGTCTTGGCTGAGCATCAAAAACATATTTGCAGAAATTGACTCTGTTAGTGTAATTCCATTCAGAAGCTGGAAATATACTCTCCTTATTGTTCCCACTTGTTGGCATTATCATCTCTGTGCATGCCTGCCCAATGACCAATAAAAGTTTCATAAATCAATGATGGGCTTTACCCCAATAATCTTATACTTTATCAATAACATTATGACATTAGTCATTTGAATTTATTTTCAAAATTTGAGGTTAAAAGTAAAACGATTTCCCAAAACTAAAGCACATAAATCATGAGATCAAAGGTGAAAAGAAGTGTTACCATCATGGACACTCAAACTTGTGTTGGATAAAAATTGAAAGAGGGTGGGAGAAATTTGTTTTGTATTTTACGTTAAAGGCTCCAAATCCAAAAGAAGTAATGATGTTAAACGAACACTTAAACTTTAGCATGTGACTTTGAATATATATCTCACATTTCTTGGATTCTTCCTTTTCCCACTTGCTCTTTCTTTACTCAACGCACAGTAAACTTTGAAAACTTTGGCTTCTTCACTTGTTTCCACAACCCTTAATTGGCCTAAGACTAGAATCTCTAATAACAGTTAGGTCCTTGTCGTGTTTCAGTTTTTTAAATTTTCTTTTGTACAAGTCTAAAATACCCCTAATCTTTTCATTAAGGTTATTCTAGACTTTTTTTTTTTTTAAAAGTTACTTCCTTAGAAGTACCTAAATATTACTATTGTTTTCTAGTGAACTTTCTTTAACCTAGGCCAAACCTAAAGGACTAAAATGTATTTAACTCCTTTTGAAAAACAAAACACAATATTTAATGTTGATTATATAAATAATTAGTGTCATTTCAATAAGTTCAATTAAATTAATGGTCAAACCCCCATTGGGTACTCCTTATGTGTCGTTTCTAAACTTATATCCTTTAACGTATTTATTTGTTTTTCTAGTAAAGGTGAATTATTGTTGCCCCCATTAAAGTCAGATGGCATGATAATTGGTAGACCATTAATTAAGTTTGTGGTTGGCAAAATTCAAACACAAAACCAATTCAAAAGCAACTCAACTGTACTATTAGAATCAATCTAACAAATTATTATAATTTAATTCAGCCTCACCTGTGAAGTTTCAATAACTTCTTTCGATTATCTGTATTTTCATTGAATATTATCTGATTTTTAATTTCATATTGGAGTAATTTTTTAAGGTTGTATTATAAGCATTTCAGCTATCTACATTTTATAAGAATTCCTGTGTTTTAAACCTTAAAAAATTTATAAAAAGGAATTATTATTTTTTGACACCTTAGGATTGGTTCCTTAAATCATGATCCAAAGGGTGAGAATAGAGGATAACATTATTCTCCTTTATTATAATAGTTTCCATTACATTTAAATCTTAAACCAAACGAGATATAATTATCTTCTAGTAAAGTTATTGTAAACATCTATTAAAACTATTATTTTTTTACCATTAATTTAATATTATTCAATAAAGAGAAGCAATTTTTAGCTCTCATCTAATTGATCAGTATCTCCCATTGCTAAACACGCATCTTTTATAATTAAAAAACATTTGTTTAAATCTTATTTAATACCAAAAATAGCACTCTAAATTTAATTAGGTTTATTCTTCTAAATTTAAAACTTAATTAGATTTTTTATTCTACACAATTTTCCACAAATCTCAAACTTAATTAGGTTTTTTATTTACAATATTTTCCTCTCAATTTACTAATTTCAAATTTGAAACTTATTTTCTATTTTTCAGATTTAGATTTATTCTGTTGTATAATTACTTTTCCCATAGTTTTAGTACTATATTTTTTGGCCAATAATAAAGGCAAAGGAAAGAGGTGGGAAAAGAGGGGTCTTCTTTTTTATTTATTAATTCTTTTATGAAATAAAATGTTTTTTTACTAATAACACGAGTGATACCATTTCTTTTTTGAAATAAAATGCTTTTTAGGAATAATAGGGGTAAAAATGGTATTTAGATGCTCTGCAGATGTCAGGTGACAGGTTTGGATAACTCTCACAAACTGCTGGGGATTGAAAATATTCATAACTAGAGGGGGTTTATAAATTTAACTTTTACCTCAGGGTGTTTAAAGATTAATAGTAAAGTGGGCAGGTGCCACGTGGTGGTAAGAAATAGACAGTAAAACTATAAGGTTGAAACCTAGAATTAGATACTCAGAAAAAGTGGAGAACCTTTTAGAATTGTACCTGCCATGACCATTCTCCCAGACCATGAGGATCAGAATCATCGTCCAGATCAAAACACGTGGCACTCCCACTGTAGTTATAGTAAATGTTGGCTGCACCATACAACTTCGCAAACGTGTCATTTCCTGTCGTCGGATCATCAATCGCTTTACACATCTGCATCCTCGTATTCATAGTGAAAGGTCAGCATCTAAGTCAACACGCTTCTTCTTTCAAATTTTATATTACAATTAATATATATAATTGAATATATAAACAGATAAAAAATTAAGAATAAAATAATTATTTTATATAATATTTATCTGTTTGTATAATTTAATTATACAATTCAATTATAAACAAAATATTATTATTTTTGGAATCATATGAAAAACGACACTGATAATCCCATTCAATTTTCAAAATATAATAATTAAATAATTAATTAAAACAAGTCATATTATAATGATATTAAAAAGTAAAATTAAGAAGCGCACCTGTTTGACTGGATGAGCTGGCAAGGGACTGAGAAAATTTGAAGGAGTTGGATAATCAGTCATGGCTGCGTAAATATAAGCAGTATAAAGCCAACCATGTAGGGCATTACCACTGATATAATTTCTGCAATTAAGAAAGAAATTAAATAAATAATTTATGGACATCTTAAAATAAAAGGAAATGTTCGTGATCTTACTTGCATATTCTAAAAGATTTTCTGAGTTGTTTAAGACCCCCATGTTGGCTTGCTTTCTCTTCAATCTTCAGCCACGATCCTTTTATCACTTTGTAACAATTTTCGCTCTCACTCTGATTTTATTTTCACAATAAATTAAATTAATTCAGAATTATAACTATATGTATATTAAGTAAAGGGTGAGTCCAAAATTTAAAATTAGACAAGTTGTGGAATCTCTTATCACCTTCTTTTCTTGAAAAACACAATTGGACGCCTCTATTTACAGAAACTTTCCAGAGGTCCATACTTTAATGTTGATGTTTTCAAAATATATATTTCTTTCTCTTACATTAAAATAAAAAAAATAAAAAAATAAATAATGATATTTCAACTTTGATGATGAAAGTAATTGATTTGAGGGCCCTATAGAAATCAGTATGCCTCAAGGATCCCAACAATTTTGAATATTATCCTAAAATCATCAAAAACCTACTTGTAAATATAAAATACGGATATATAAAAGAAAACCCAAATAAAGAATATTTACTAGTCTTAGAAAATAGGTTGAAACTGGCATGAGTGATGTCATTTAGGACAGACAAAAAGGAAAATAAAAGTAGTGACAGCTAAGAAAGAAAAAGAAAGATACCCTGAAGTCTTTGGTGACAATGGCATTGAAGGTATATGGCGAAACCATATTTTCAAAGTTGAGGATTGGAGCAGAAGACGCCAAAGCTCCAATGGCTACATGTGGATATTTCAACCTAAACCACGCTGCCAGCACTGCATTCCAAATCATTGCCATTTTTATTTAATTTCACAATTAAAAAAAAATACTTACATAAGACGGTTTTATCACCTCATTTGATTGTCCAATTAAATAAAGACCCGTATTATTAACTTGGAAAATTTAACAAATATCTGACTGGATGATATCACCAGGTCAGTCAACTGAGATGTATACATATGAGCTAGTCACATTTTCATCCCTGAGATTTAATGAAAGTATCAATCAGGCCCAATAAAGTCAGAAAAATGTCATTTTATTTAGTTCTTGTCGGTCCAAACTGTTATGTTTCATTAGATGATGCAAGGTTATTCTATCCTTCTATATAAATAACTTATGAAATTTTTAACTATAATTCTTAAATTCAATAATAAAAAAATAAAAATAAAGTAACAGTTAAAAATGCCTAACACTTTATTCGAACTTTCAGCCTATTTATTTACCAACATTAAAACGTTATAAGTTCATTCAAAGACGTCTTTCTTTGGCTTTTGTCAAATAATTTCATGCTTGTTTTAGTCAAACTTGTTTGTTAGGTGTATGGGTAACCTCATTCTGTGTGCTGCCCTAATTAATAGTTTGTTAATTATGTTGCTTGGACAAATTTCAATCCCAGATTGACCACATTTTTATTTGGGCAATCATTTAATTCAAAACATATTTAATTTAGAGTCACTTTTGATATAATCCAAAGAAAAATTAAGAGAGCTACAACAAGTGCAACGGTCTCCACCCTCCTCATGTATGTTCACTTTTAATTAATCTAAAATAAATAATGCTAAGTCTATAATTAACCTCACAATCCATAATCAAATTTCGTAACTTCTTCTCACAATCTTTGAGTAGTTTGTGAATTCGTAAATGAGCAGGAAGCCTGCATTTAAAACTAATGATTGAGAGTTCTGAGGGAGACGAGAGATGGACCTGACCATCCAAGATTTGGGACAAGTGTTTTCGTGTATGATTTGAGGTCATGTCAAAATTACAGTGAAAGAAACACCCTTTAACTTAAGCGGCAGGAATCTCTTGACAATTTTCAATCAATAAATTCAATAACACAAGACAATCTTAAATTGGGTGAATCAAATCTTATCAATCAGACGTGCTTTTCCATTACAACTCCTAAAAGGCCCAAACAAAGAGCCTCTCTTGGCCCAATAACCACTGATTCATATGTCAAAGACTTCAATTTGTGCCCTCACTCAAATTGTTTTTTAGCAGATATGAGCACAGATAAACAAAAAGAAAAAAAAAAAAAAAAAAAAAAAAAAAAAAAAAAAAAAAAAGGGTTTATGTTTATCTCTAAAGATGGAGCAAGTCATGGTAGTATTGAGAAATCCATTTGCAATAATGTTCGCTTCTGTTTCTCACATCCTGAAGCCATTTTGGATCTTCTCTGTTGAAAATCTCAGGTCTACATGGTGAGCTCCTGAACCAGTAATTCTAACATTAGAGACATTAAGAGTGTTTTAACTTATCTATTTGTGTAACTTTACCGACAAGATTTACTAACCTTCTTCTGCAACAATGGCAATTAGTCTTGGAAACATTCTTGAGAACCCTGAAACCAAATAATTTTGAATGAGAGAGCATATAATTTGAATGATGGAGAAATAGAGAGAGGGAGATGAAAGTCATACCCCACCACCCAAGGATCTCAAGCCATTAAAGAAGATGATATTGCTTCCAAATCTTTTCAAAGCCCTCTGAATATCTGTTCATTTTAATACAAAAATAATGTTTATATACAAACGAAAATACAAAAAATGGAAAATGAAAAGGTTACCCACATACATGGCCAACAAAATGAGTGGTAATCCAATTGGGTCTTGGCTGAGCACAAAAAAAAATTTGCAGAAATTGGCTCTGTTAGTGTAATTCCATTCAGAAGCTGGAAATATACTCTCCTTATGTTCACTTGTTGGCATTATCATCTCTGTGCATGCCTGCCCAATGACCAATAAAGTTTCATAAATCAATGATGGGCTTTACCCAATAATTATACTTATCAATAACATTATGACATAGTCATTTGAATTTATTTTCAAATTTGAGGTTAAAAGTAAAACGATTTCCCAAAAACTAAAGCACATAAATCATGAGATAAAGGTGAAAAGAAGTGTTACCATCATGGACACTCAAACTTGTGTTGGATAAAATTGAAAGAGGGGGGAGAAATTTGTTTTGTATTTTACGTTAAAGGTCCAATCCAAAAGAAGTAATGATGTTAAACGAACACTTAAACTTTAGCATGTGACTTTGAATATATATCTCACATTTCTTGGATTCTTTTTTCCCACTTGCTCTTTCTTACTCAACGCACAGTAAACTTTGAAAACTTTGGCTTCTTCACTGTTTCCACACCCTTAATTGGCCAAGACTAGAATCTCTAATAACAGTTAGGTCTTGTCGTGTTTCAGTTTTTTAAATTTCTTTGTACAAGTCTAAAATACCCCTAATCTTTCATAAGGTTTTTCTGACTTTTTTTTTTTAAAAGTTACTTCCTTAGAAGTACTAAATATTACTATTGTTTTCTAGTGAACTTTCTTTAACCTAGGCCAAACCTAAAGGACTAAAAGTATTTAATCTTTTGAAAAACAAAACACAATATTTAATGTTGATTATTATAATTAGTGTCATTTCAATAAGTTCAATTAAATTAATGGTCAAAACCCATTGGGTACTCTTATGTTCGTTTCTAACTTATATCCTTTACGTATTTATTTGTTTTTCTAGTAAAGGTGAATTATTGTTGCCCCCATTAAAGTCAGATGGCATGATAATTGGTAGACCATTAATTAAGTTGTGGTTGGCAAAATTCAAACACAAAACCAATTCAAAAGCAACTCAACTGTACTATTAGAATCAATCTAACAAATTTTATAATTTAATTCAGCCTCACCTGTGAAGTTTCAATAACTTCTTTCGATATATCTGTATTTTCATTGAATATTATCGATTTTTAATTTCATATTGGAGGAATTTTTAAGGTTGTATTATAGCATTTCAGCTATCACATTTTATAAGAATTCCTGTGTTTTAAACCTTAAAAAATTTTATAAAAGGAATTATTATTTTTTGACACCTTAGGATTGGTTCCTTAAATCATGATCCAAAGGGTGAGAATAGAGGATAACATTATTCTCCTTATTATAATAGTTTCCATTAATTTAAATCTTAAACCAACGAGATATAATTATCTTCTAGTAAAGTTTGTAAACATCTATAAAACTATTATTTTTTACCATTAATTTAATATTATTCAATAAAGAGAAGCAATTTTTAGCTTCATCAATGATCAGTATCTCCCATTGCTAAACACGCATTTTTATAATAAAAACATTTGTTTAAATCTATTTTAATACCAAAAAACCAGAGGGCCAGGCATGCGTGGGCATAACTTAATATAATACAAATATTAGCAGAATGGGATGGGAAGGAGGAGGGGTCCACAATAAAAATTTTAAAAAATAAAAACAAAGGGTTGAGATTGGGCTTGGAGTTTACTGTTGCCAGGCTGCTTCGTTTTAAACAGATGATGATGCAATTGGGTCGTTGACACGTGGCAATTGAGGTGTAGGGCTATGATGGTGATTGTGGAGGACCATCAATCAAATAGTATGGTCCCTGTGAATTTCATCTCAAATTTGCCAAGTAAATAGCCAATCTTCTCACGTTCCTGAAAGGGAACGAACTTACATATATCCAAAGTTTGTTGTATAGATAAAGTAATACCCAAAAGGTTTAGAAATGATAAATACTCACTTTTCGTCATGTTCTGTTAAGAATTTCCATCTGCTAAAAGACAAAAATGGTAAAAAGATTAGAATACTCACCGATCTTCATTCTCAACGCACGCGCCAACAAGGGTTAGTGCCACTGTTTATCACCGAAATTTGCAGAAAAATACTAAATCCAATAAAAAAATCGATCAATGACGCAAAAGGGCTATGCAAACGGGCTTGGGGTGAGAATAGATACGGAGAAAAAGATTTAAAATTTAAAAATTTTGTGATTGTAGATGAAATTACTATACTGTCTTTTAGCAGACAGAAATCTCTAACAGAATATGACAGAAAGTATTTGTTTATCATTTCCAAACCTTTTGGGTATCAATCTGTCTTTATGCCAAACTTTGGGTAAGTGGAAGTCGTTCGGCCTTTCTGAAAACATACTATTGACTTACCATTTCCTTTTCCATATTCAAGAAATATTTTTTTTAATAAAATTTTAATTTAAAAAAATTTAATATAAATTCATTAATGTAATGTACCACACTATTGTCTAATTATAATAATGATATAATAATAGTAAGACATGATATTGATTAAGATGAACAAAAGAAAAACTAATACATATATAATATGAATTAATTTAAATTAACATATCTATTGTCTTATTAGCAATCGAGGTGATTCAAATTCAGAATTTCTTGAATAATACATCAAAAAATTATTGTCTAACCACTCACTCACCCATATGTTATAAACTTCAAAACTGAGATTAATTAATATAAGTGTACAGTTTCTCTCATATTTATGGTTTAATCATAAAAATAAATGGAATCATTGGTTATATAAAGAGTTGAGAAACATGATAATGAAAATACGAAAATACGGAGAAGGTGCATGTTTTGTAGTCAACTACATTTGTCCACTCAATCACAATCCACAAACACACTTTCCTATAGTTTTGAATAATGGACCGACCTGTCTCATTCATTGCCTAACTTTGAAAATAAAGCTTATACTTAATATTTATTATTAATTTCAACACAATTCATATTCCCCTTANTTAATTAAATGATTAACAATTTAATTAATTATAATATTACATTATAATTAAACCCTAAACCCAAATAGTATATTTGTTAGGGGTGTATTTGTAAACTTTTAAGGTATTTTTATCATTTTTTAAACTAACAGGGAGGTAATTAATTTTTTATAGTATACCCCGGAAAGGAACCGGAACCTGCATTTTAGGTTCCGGTTCCTTGAATTGAAAAACCTGCACTGTGC